TCGAGCTTGGCCAGGCCCACAGGGCAGCCTCGGTGCGTCAGGTACTTACGTGAGGGTGCGGACACACTTGGCCGAGTCCTGGATGTCCCACACCTTGATGTAGGAGGTGGAGACAGTGAAGACCAACCCTGAGTGGCTGCAGTACTTGATGGACATCACATTATTGGGATAGCCCTTCAGCGAGGCAATTTCCTGGCCCGTCACCAGGTTTGGTTCCACATTTTGCAGCTCCGGTCTGCGGGAGGAGGCAGGAGCACATGACACTGCGGGACCCTTCCCGTCCTCAGCAAAGGACCCCATGGCTTCCTCCCCCCCACCTCCCCTTGCTCCCACGAGTGCCCCAGGGGAGCGCAGTTCCTGTGGCCCATCCTGCTCCTGGCACCTCCGCCGGGCCTGCCGATGGGGGGAGGGTCTATTAGTGCCAGGTGCGAGGTGAATATCCAGCCACTAGGAACCGGGCAGAGGCCCTAACAACTCGCTTCAGGGATTTCACCACACAGCTGTTCAGCCTAATGATTCATGAAGAATTGCTGCCCTCTGCTGGGGGGACCCAGAACTGCACTGGCCCATTGTGGCATTTGGGGCTCTCAGGCATGCTGGTGCCATCTGAGCAGGAGGCTCCTGTCCTGTCCCCGCAGTTCGGGGCAGCTCAGCCCCTCCCCTGGGTAACAGGCTCACTCCCCAGCGATCACACCCAGAGCTCAGCAGCCGGCCCGCCCCGGAGGCTTGGAGTGTCCCTCCGCCGCGGAGATGCACTGCAGCGGGGCCGTCCGAGCACTGCTGGCACCGCCCACGGGGTTAATGAGGCCCCTTCCGTGGGAGAGAGAGAGCAAGGGCATCAGCAGGGGGGCACTGGCTGGGTGACCCAGGACAAAGCCAGATCCTGCCCCATGAGGCTGCCAGGGCCTACTAGCGGGGCTCCGGAGCAAAGCAAACCACAGACAGAGGCTGCAGGGCAGCCTGCTCCCCAGACAGGCCCCCCGGGGGCAGATCACACCCCATTGGTGCTAAGGCCTCAGGGACTCATGCAGACCCTGCCTTGGTTGGGGGTGGGGGGCGGTGAGAGCCCAGCTGGGACTGCCAGGCCCCAGGGCAGAGTGGGGATGGTAGAGGGGGCGGCGAAGGCCCAGCTGGGACCGCCTGCTCTGGGGCCATTCCCGGCGCCAGCCATGGGAGTCACCGTCTGCCATTCACTTCTCTTGGAGCTGGGCTCCCTGGAGAGTCACCCAGGACCGGCTCGAGGCACCAGCAAACCAAGCACATGCTTGGGGCAGCACATTTTCAGGGGCAACATTCCAGATCCTTTTTTTGTTTTGCTTCGGGCGGCAAAAGCCTAGAGCCGGCCCTGGCAGCAACAGCGCGTTGTGTGCGGGGGACGCCCTGGGGCCACTGCGGTTCGCGCCGTGGGGGAGCAGCACCTGCACCTTGTGGCTGGGCTGGGCAGGCTCCGAGCGGGAGACACTCGGGCTGGGGGCCGCCCTGCCTGCAGATGCCACAGGGCGGCCAGAATTAGCACTGGAGCCATAGAAGATGGGGCGTTGCCGTGCAGGGCCCGCGTCCCGCTCTCCGGGGCTCCGCTCCCTCCTGGGCTACCCTGCCCCAGCTCCTCAGCCCCCTGCTGGGGCGGTCCCCCATCTCTGCCCCTCCCAGGTCCCGGCTGGTCCTGGAGGCGGGAGCCCTGGCTGGAGGGACCCTGGGCTGAGGCGCGGCCCGGGAGCCCCGCTGCTTACCCTGACCC